AGCTTCCCCACTGACTTTGGTTTTTGGAAGCTGGCAGGAAGTTGCAAGGAGGTGCTTGTTTATTGATCTACAATCTTCACTTAACGATGGCAATGGGGACTGCAGGGATTGCCGTTGGTAAGCGATGTGATCACGTGACATTGTGCTTTATGACGGCATCGCTTAGTGATGGAAATTCTGGACCCAATTGCTGTTGTAACTCAAGGACTACCTGTATATTACATTTTTCTGTTTTTAATTTTGTGAATAGTCTATGGAATTGAGCAGCCTAGAAATTGGATGGATGGATGGATGGATGGATGGATGGATGGATGGATGGATGGATGGATGGATGGGATGACTCAACCTCCAGACAATTCCACCTGGATGACTGAGAATCATCATAAACATAAGACACTATGAACTTTCTCAGTGTAGACACAGCCAGATAAAATTGTAATATAAAAATTTCTCATGGCACTATTTAATATTCCAGTTATTTTATTTTAAAATAATAGATATGGATGCTTCGTGCTCCCTGGATTTTTATTTTCAATTCAAAGAACAAAATGCTAGGATCCAAGCCAATGTTTGTAAGATTTTGTGCATTGCTTCCTCCAAATGTTAACTGATTTGCACTGGTATGCTGATTTTTAAGTAACCTTACAAAGACATAAACTGCAATCTGAAATAAACATTTTCCCTCACCCACATTTTCCCTCAATTATTTTTGTAGGCAGGACCATAAATTATACAATATAAACCGGAATACAAAAATAGCACTTGCGTAAAACCTAATTATTCAGTGAAGAAGCACTGCACAGAATTCAAAGTTAAAGCTCGGGGAAGGGGGCAGATACCACCTGCTGAACACCCTGGCATCGAATTCATTGCCTCTCATTTTATCCATATTTCTTCAACTGAAAATGTTTTCCAGCTTTAGCTAGCACCTTTTATGGTCAGTGTTAGCCCAGGCTGATTATGATGAAAGATCTAAATGTTGTATTTATCACTCCCAACCCAACACAGTTGTGTTGTGGTTTCACTGGATTTTGTAGCAACTGCTTGCTTAAAATCTTGGCCTTCAACAATCTTGGCATCTCTATATGTGCAGGATAAGATAATCTCTAAATGCCATTTGGGTTATAGATCATTCAAGACCGTTTTTAACTACATGCAATTTAGTATATAAATTTTAATAATGTTTGCTTCCCTTGGTATATGGCTGACAAAATGCTCATTCATAAAAGAAGAATATTGTATTGTCCTGTTAGACACTGAAAATGAACTGCAATTGTAAACTTGTACTTCTGTATTATTTTTAAAAAATACAATTTGTGAAAATTAGGAGGGTTCTTGTTCAGTCTCAAATCACTTGCTAGATTTATTTTTTCCTAGTTACCAAGTTTTGATCATAAAGAACAGTTTTCATTGTAGTATGATTGAGAAGGCAAGATTAAGTCCTAAGTCATGTGACTCCCTGACTTGTACTATCTTTATATGATACCAGAAAGCAGATTTCACCCTTATATTTTAGATACAAAGTAAGAGTGTATAGGCAGGGAGAAAAATTCAGAAATTGAATATATTCTCAGAGGTTTTCGTATTTGTTTTCTTTTACCTACTGAATATATTTTTTGTCACAAAACTCATTTATAGGTTGACTGAAGTAGAAACAGTTGTGACATGTGGAGAAAGAAAAACCATTTAAATTAAACTTATGCTAAATTTATAGAAGCCAGTCAGACAAAAACAGCTGATGCTTTATGGATTTAATCAAATGCAACTCCTGCTAGAGAGGACTTGGAGTACAGGAATGACAGGACATTTTGTCTGATGCATTTTCCTCTCTTTAAGCTTATCCTTCCTGATGCAATGAAGGTGCTTCCTGTCTACATGAATTGCCTTCTGAAAAGCTGTGTGCTGCTGGGCAAGTCCGAAATTCCCACAGATGAAAGAACTTTTCACAGACAGCTGGTCATGTCAATGGATGTTGCTGGCACTCAACTTTTATTCTACCCACAGCTTCTGCCAATTGTAAGTGTTTTGCCAGCAGCAGATTTTGGGCAGGACAGATGTTGCAACTCTGAGAATCTGCTAGGGGTCAATGCTACCTCCAGGGTGCTCTTGCTGATGCTACTCAGTCCATCTAGCCTGAGTTGCTGGTTCTACCGTTGTAATTCCTTCAGCCCCCAGAGATTGGGAAGAGCCAATATAAGTATGATAGTGGCATGGCACTGAAGAAGCACAGTTCATGCTGCTCAACCACACTTCCCTCTAGAGCAGTGTTGTCCAAACTTGACCACTTTAAGATGAGTGGACTTCAACTCCCAGA